TGTATGATCTGGGTGATGGAGACTTTTGTACTCAAATATTTTCTCTAAATTTGAAATTATTTGGAAAATTATTTTTTAAAGTCCCTATTTCTATCAAATGGCCAATATAAAATGCAGATTTGATTGAATCTCTTCCCTGCTTATGAACTGTTTCTTTTGCTTCTGCTGTGAAATTAAAGATCCTCTGCAGGGACATCCCTGGTGGTCCAGTGGCTAAGACTCCACGCTCCCAAAAGAAGGGAGCCCAGGTTCGATCCCTGGTTAGGGAACTTGAACCCACATGCCACAACTAAAGAGTTTGCATGCCATGACTAAAGATCCTACATGCTGCAAATAAGATCCCACGTGCCACAACTAAGACCAAACTCAGCCAACTAAATTAAATACAATAATAATAAAAAAAAAGATCCGTTGCAGAGCAAGCAGAGCTCTGACGCTGCGTCTCCCCTCCCCCCACCACCAGGGTCTGTGCCCTGCGCGGTCGCACTGCTGCTCACTCTCCCCAAACCACTCTGTCTACGCCCTCTGTGCCTTTGCACCTGTACTGCTGTTCTCTGTGTCTGGACTACCCTTCTCTGTCCGTATGCAAAACTCTTATGCATCTTTCAAAACCTGGTTTGTATGTCTCCACCTGTGGGAAGCATTCTGTGGCAGTGAGCTAATCCTGTCTAGGCTTGTCTCTGTGATGAAACTTATCTACTGAGTACAGCTCAGGCCTCAGGAGCCCCGAAGCAGCTCTGTGCCTGTGAGGGTAGCCCTGATGTTCGTGGAGGAATCTGTATTAGGCGGTACCTATTAGAGTCCCCAACTGGAGCCGAGTACTGAGTCACAAGCCCTATTTCAGTGTTCACCGATAATGAAGATGATACTTGCGCCGCCTGGCTGGGCCCTTCTGCTCAGGCCTAGAAAGGCAAGTCAAGCGTTGGCTGAGCTGTGGTCTTCTTGGAGACTCTCACCTGAGATCCTCTCCCAAGTTCATTGCAGCTGTAGGACTCAGGTCCTGATTTCCGGGGGCTGATTGTCAGGGGTCCCCCTCGGCTGCCTCCACATGACCCCTCCTGACGTGGCCGTTTGCTTCTCCCAGGACAGCAGGAGTGTCTCTCTGAAGCATCACGTCTTTTGGTGTTAGGCCCACTAAGGATAATCTCCTTTCTGACTTAGCTGATTAGTAAGCTAGTCTCAGGCGTGAAATCACCACAGTCTCAAGGAGAATGGACCACGGACTTGAGGAGCATTTAGGGTTCTGCCACTACAGTCTCTGTGGGTTGAGATGGGCCCTTTGAAATTCCAAAATGTGCTCTAATTATGGTTTCATATGGTAGTGGACAATTTGTGAATTTACAAAGGAAGCCTATAATTTTGGTATCCCACCCATTTTCATCTCTAAATGCTTGTAGTTTAGGCGATAACCTATAAGAACAATAATAAAAGTGTTAATAACTAACTTTTACTGACGGTTCAGTTTGCGCCAGACACAAAATGCTCACTATTCTACAGAATTACTCCTTCAATTCTCACAGTCCCTACAGAGTAGGTACCCTGTAATTCCCACTTTTACTGCAGGCTGTAAAACACGCTGCTAGTGACTTCTCACCAGCCCTTAGTTAACATGGCAGGTAGGTTTCATATCCACACACTACGGTGACACTATCGTGATGCAACTTTTGTAATAAAGTTACTTATTACTGTGAAAAAAAAGCGCTTTTGTTTCTATCACAACCTGCAACTGTACTGGTTTATAGTCTAGTGAGGGAGTTGGACATACATTTTTTTTTGGCGGTACACGGGCCTCTCACTGTTGTGGCCTCTCCTGTTGTGGAGCACAGGCTCTGGACGCGCAGGCTCAGCGGCCATGGCTCACGGGCCCAGCCAATCCGCGGCATGTGGGATCTTCCCGGATCGGGGCCCGAACTCATGTACCCTGCACCGGCAGGCGGACTCTCAACCATGAGCCACCAGGGAAGCCCAGACATACATTTTTTAATTACACGGAAGAGGATATGGGAGACTGTGACAAGCGAATCAGACACAGGTGAAGCAGAGGAGGCTCTGGTGTGAGCAGGGGGTAAAGCTGCAGGGATCCGGGCAGAGAAGCAGCCTGCACAAAGGCCACGAGGCTGAACAGAGCCCAAAGGCCACCAAGCCACCACCTAGTCTCTGGGGTCCAGGAGTTCTCCACCCACCCACCCTTCAGCCACAGCCTTCTCTTCCCATGTTAATGACTTATCACTGCCCAGCCTTACTTTCAGTCTTTACGTCGAGCCTTCCAGGGCCCTTGACAAACTGGCCCAGTCTCCCTTTCCAGCCTTGTCTCCTGCCATCCCGCTCTACTCACACACTCTGTGTTCTGACCTGCACTGCCCAGTGTGGAAGCCACTGGCCACGTGGGGCTGTGAGCCCAGGAAACGGGGCCAGTCTGAACTGAGGTGTGCTGTCAGTACAAAATACGCAACGGATTTCAAGGCCAGTATTAAAAAAGTATAAAACAACTCAATATCGTGAATATATTTTATATGACAAAATGATAATATTTTGTATATATTTGGTTAAATATTTTATTAAATTTGATTTCATCTGTGTTTTTCACTTTTTTAATTATTTTAAATTAATTTTTATTTTTGGCTGCCTTGGGTCTTCGTTGCTGCGTGCGGGCTTTCTTTTCTCTAGTTGTGTCGAGCGGGGGCTACTCTTCATTGTGGTGCGTGGGCTTCTCATTGCGGTGGCTTTTGTTGTGGAGCACGGGCTCTAGGCATGCGGGTTCAGTAGTTGTGGCTCGTGGGCTCTAGAGCGCAGGCTCAGTAGTTGTGGTGCATGGGCTTAGTTGCTCCGCAGCACGTGGTATCTTCCCAGACCAGGGCTCGAACCCGTGTCACCTGCATTGGCAGGCCGACTCTTAACCACTGTGCCCCCAGGGAAGCCCCTTTCACTTCTTAAGATGTGGCTACTAGATAATTTATGATAACCCCAGTGGCCCGTATTATATTTCTACTGGACAGCACTGTTACAGATACAATTATTACATTTCCTAAACTCTCCAAACCTCTCCCTCCCTCTGCACTTGCACCTATATTTCTTTTCCCCTAAGATGTTCTCTGCAGGTCTCTGCCTGGGTTTTTTGTGCTTCAAGGTCCACCTGAAATGAGGCCCTTCCCATCCTCATTCCTTTCCTCCAGGCACACTTTGCCACTTCCTCATGCACTGCATTTTATGAGTAGCTCTTATACTTTCACTTTATTTAATAATTGTTTGCATATTTCTCGCTCCTGGCGATTATGAGCGACTAGAGGTCCAGGCAGTGTTTTATTTATGTCTCCAGCACTCTAACAGTCCCCATGTCATCAAATGAACCTGAGTCTTCTATTGAAGAAAGATGATAGAAGAAACACCACGAGATAAAATGTGATTGGCAAATAAGTTACTTAGAAAATAATTGTTTTAAGAAGTCCAAGGAGAGAAAGATTGTTTTAACTTCCTCTATTGACATTTTTTCAGCAAATATTGTGGGGATGGTGAGAGAGAGGAGATAGCCCTGTGAATATGGTGCATTTGGGGAACCCTAAATCATTCTGTTTCGTGACAAAAGAATGCAACCGAGAGAGCCAGGTGGAGACAGAAGCAGGGTGTGAGGTGAGTCACCTGTTGGATTGCTGCCTTCAACGGAGGGTGGATTGGTGGGGCTGGAGTGGAAAAAAATGAGGAAGAGACTCAAGACACATCTTGACAGGAGTTTTGACTGCACTCGGGAGGGGAAGAAGGGTTCTGAGGGTTCCAGGGCCAAGCCCAGCTCATTCGTGCAATGTGCGTGTCTGTGACTTAATCTAATACTGTGGCTGATGACTTTGTCATTACAGTCGACAGTCTGAAGCTCTCCCAATATGAGCTGTTTTCTCAGCTGACAGAGAGTGACCCAGTGGTTAAGAGAATGGACTTTGGCGTCAGACCATCCACCACCCTAGCTTTCTGAGTTTAGGTAACTGAATTAATCTTTCTGGCCCTCAGTCTCCTCATCTGAAAAACAGTAACATGCCTATCTCACAGGGACGCTATGAGAATTAAATGAATTACCAAGGGGAAGGTTTCAGTTTGGTGCCTCCTTTGGAGCAGTTCCTAAATAAATCATAGCTATCACTGAAATTACCTTTCCTACCCTCCTTTCCTGTTTGGTTCTTCCTAAGCCCTGCTGAGTGAAAATGAAAAAGGTAGTAGTGGAAACTCCAAAACCAGAGCACAATTAAATATAAAAGGACGATTAGATCTGTTATTAACTTCTCTAAGGCAAGGAGCTGAGTAAATGGCTTTTATGTAGATTGATGCATAAACCGTAATAGTATGTGACTCAAAAACACAACGTCTGAAAAATAGTGTGTCTACAGAAAAAACATGACATCAAAAGCACAGACCCCTAATAACACGCTCACCGATGTGCTCCTTAGCACACGATTTGAGAGCCTTCTCTCTCTCTCTCGTGTGAAAACGGTAAGTGGAATCTTTTCTAAGTAACATTTGCAGGCTAAACAGACGCGAAACAGTTTGCAGAATCAGGGCTAAATGTCAGTTATAACGTGCATCACGGGCGTGGGACCCACACCTCTCCAGCCTTGCATGTTTAAGGCTGGCTTTTATTTTAAGCTTTAAAGAAAATAGTTGTGGTAAAATAAATGTGAGATGCAGACCATGTGTCTTAGTATTTCAGTCCTCTCGTCTCTTAATTTGTATAAGAACTGCGTCTTTCAACAATTACTTTTTCAGATACTTTGTGATTCCTACCAATCCTGCAGTGTGTCCTACCAAACGACAACCACAGGCAAAGTAACTCGAGGATCGAGAGCCTCCGCGGAAAGAAAGCTCCCTCCGCTCCCGCTTCGAAAGGCGGGTTTGCCTGTTTCCCTGCTGCAGCTCCGGTCCTGCGGGCAGCCCGCGGGCTCAGACCGGCTTCTTCCCCGCCCGAGCACCGCTGGGCCTCACAGCAGGCGGGAGACGCCGCGCCCCCGGAAACACACATCCCACCCGGCGAGAGTCTCCGCAGCGCTCAGCCTCCTTCTGCACCTCCCCCCGCTTCCTTTGGGCCTCCCGGGAGTCATAGGATGGCGGTCGCTCAGCGCTCTGCGGCCTCGCCTGTCGGTTGCTAGGAGGCGGGGAAGCGCAGGCGCGCTGGGGGCAGCCGCGCAGCATGCCGGGCCGGCGGTCGCTCGGCGCTCTGCTGCCCCGCCTGTCTGTTGCTAGAAGGCGGGGAGGCGCAGGCGCGCCGCGGGGCATGCCGGTCCGGCGGTTGCTCTGCTTTCCGCTGCCCCTCCTACCAGTTGCCAGGAGGCGGGGAGGCGCAGGCGCGCTGGGGGCGGCCGCGGGGCACGCTGGGACGACGGTCTCTTGGCGCTCGGCTATCCAGCCTGCCGGTTGCTAGGAGGCAGGACGCCGGCCCGGCCAAGGGTGTGGGCGCCGGGGCGTCTCCTCCCGGGCCCTGGCCCTGCTGAGGGCAGCGTGGCCGCCCGGTCCTGCGTGCGGCGATGGAGCCCGGGAAGGTGAGTGTGAACGCCGCGCGGGAGGCCCGTCCCCGCCGGGACCGTCCACCTGCTCGCGGGCGGAGGTCGCACCAGAGCCGGGACTGGAATTCTGGTTGCGCGTGCGACCGTGGGAAAGTTACCGACGTGTCTATTTCCCAGCGAATAAATCGGGACAGTACTAGTAGAATTGGATGAGGTTCTACAAATAAAAGTGGTTAGAATGGTGTTATTAACTCACTAACTGTGAACTGTAGTCGTTCCGCTTGTCTGTGGATTCCCGCTAAAAGACGAGGAATTTAGTTTGCATGCATTTCTTCGTACCTTCCCTCCTATTCCATTTTTTCCCTATCATCCACTTTTATAATGTTAATAATATGGATTAGGAAGTTAGTGCCCTGGCTGCCCTCCATTTATTTTTAAGCTCACAAACTTCCTGACCGCTATCATCTTCTACACCGGTCCCTTACATTTTCTTTCCTTTTTTATTTTTTTTGAATTTTATTTTATTTATTTTTTTATACAGCAGGTTCTTAGTAGTCATTCATTTTATTTTTTTCACACACACACACTGTATTTTATTTTTACAAGAGACAAATAAACTGACACCAAGCATTGTAACTGGATGACCACAACAAAAGCAACAATGATTGCAATTACCAAACACGAAACACACTCACACTGTGTCCTAATATTGACATTCAGTCCAGGAATCCTCCACTGTAACAGCTCCTTCACTTTGCAGTGAAAATTGATTTGTATATTTTTTTGCCTCTGAGTCCTTGTGGGATTTTTTTTTTTAGCATGTGGGATCTTCCCGGACCGGGGCACGAACCCGCGTCCCCTGCATCGGCAGGCGGACTCTCAACCACTGCGCCACCAGGGAAGCCCGCAGCTCCTTTACTTTGCAGTGAAAATTGATTTGTATATTTTTTGCCTCTGAGTCCTTGTGGGAGTTTTTTTTTTTATTCAAACAGAAAGTAACAAAAATTATAATCATCCTCATCAGTTCACTCAGTCCCATCTAATTAATTTTTTTTATCTTGATCTTTTGTTAGGACTTTTATGAATTCATCAGTTTTCCATTAGAGTTCTGAAAATGCTTATTCATTCAGTTCAGCAGTGTAGTCAGTTACCAGTAGTCATCCATTTTATACACATCAGTGTATACATGTCAATACCAATCTCCCATTCATCCCACCACCACCACCCCGTTGCTTTCCCCCCTTGGTGTCTGTATGTTTGTTCTCTACTTCTGTATCTCAATTTCTGCCCTGTAAACCAGTTCATCTGTACCATTTTTCTAGGTTACATATATATGCGTTAATATATGATGTTTATTTTTCTCTTTCTGACTTACTTCACTCTGTATGGCAGTCTCTAGATCCATCCACGTCTCTACACCTGACTCAATTTCATTCCTTTTTATGGCTGAGTAATATTCCATTGTATATATGTACCACATCTTCTTTATCCATTTATCTGTTGATGGACACTTAGGTTGCTTCCATGTCCTGGCTGTTGTAAACCGTGCTGCAGTGAACACTAGGGAGCATGTGTCTTTTTGAATTATGGTTTTCTCAGTGTATATGCCCAGTAGTGGGATTGCTGGGTCATATGGTAATACTGTTTTTAGTTTTTTAAGGAACCTCCACACTGTTCTCCATAGTGGCTGTATCAATTTACATTCCCACCAACAGTGCAAGAGGGTTCCCTTTTCTCCACACCCTCTCCAGCATTTGTTGTTTGTAGATTTTCTGACAATGTCCATTCTAACTGGTATGAGGTGATACCTCACTGTAGTTTTGATTTGCATTTCTCTAATAATTAGTCATGTTGAGCAGCTTTTCATGTGCTTCTTGGCCATCTTTATGTCTTCTTTGGATAAATGTCTATTTAGGTCTTCTGCCCATTTTTGGGATTGGGTTGTTTGCTTCTTTAATATTGAGCTGCATGAGCTGTTTATATATTTTGGAGATTAATCCTTTGTTCCTTGATTCGTTTGCAAATATTTTCGCCCATTTTGAGGGTTGTCTTTTCGTCTTGTTTATGGTTTCCTTTGCTGTGCAAAAGCTTTTAAGTTTCATTAGGTCCCATTTGTTTATTTTTATTTCCATTACTGTAGGAGGTGGATCAAAAAAGATCTTGCTCTGGTTTATGTCAAAGAGTGTTCTTCCTATGTTTTCCTCTAAGAGTTTTATAGTGCCTGGTCTTACATTTAGGTATCTAATCCATTTTGAGTTTATTTTTATGTATGGTGTTAGGGAGTGTTCTAATTTCATTCTTTTACATGTAGCTGTCCAGTTTTCCCAGCACCACTTATTGAAGAGACTGCCTTTTCTCCATTGTATATCCTTGCCTCCTTTGTCATAGATTAGTTGACCATAGCTGCGTGGGTTTATCTCTGAGCTTTCTATCTTGTTCCATTGATCTATATTTCTGTTTTTGTGCCAGTACCATATTGACTTGATTACTTAGCTTCGTAGTATAGTCTGAAGTCAGGGAGTCTGATTCCTCCAGCTCCTTTTTTTCCCCTCAAGATTGCTTTGGCTATTCGGGGTCTTTTGTGTCTCCATGCAGATTTTAAGATTTTTTGTTCTAGTTCTGTAAAAAATGCTGTTGGTAATTTGATATGGATTGCACTGAATCTGTAGATTGCTTTGGGTAGTAGAGTCATTTTCACAATATTGATTCTTCCAATCCAAGAACATGGTGTATCTCTCCATCTGTTTGTATCGTCTTTAATTTCTTTCCTCAGTGTCTTATAGTTTTCTGCATACAGGTCTTTTGTCTTAGGTAGGTTTATTCCTAGGTATTTTATTCTTTTTGTTGCAGTGGTAAATGGGAGTGTTTCCTTAATTTCTCTTTCAGATTTTTCATCATTAGTGTATAGGAATGCAAGAGATTTCTGTGCATTAATTTTGTATCCTGCAACTTTACCAAATTCATTGATTAGTTCTAGTATTTAGTAGTTTTCTGGTGGCATCTTTGGGATTCTCTGTGTATAGTATCATGTCATCTGCAAACAGTGACAGTTTTACTTCTTCTCCAATTTGTATTCCTTTTATTTCTTTTTCTTCTCTGATAGCCATGGCTAGGACTTCCAAAACTATGTTGAATAATAGTGGTGAGAGTGGATATCCTTGTCTTGTTCCTGATCTTAGAGGAAATGCTTTCAGTTTTTCACCATTGAGAATGATGTTGGCTGTGGGTTTGTCATATATGGCCTTTATTATGTTGAGGTAGGTTCCCTCTATGTCCACTTTCTGGAGAGTTTTTATCATAAATGAGTGTTGAATTTTGTCAAAAGCTTTTTCTGCATCTATTGAGATGATCATATGGTTTTTATTCTTTAACTTGTTAATATTGTGTATCACATTGATTGATTTGCGTATATTGAAGAATCCTTGTATCCCTGGGATGAATCCCACTTGATCATGGTGTATGATCCTTTTTTTGTGCTGTTGGATTCTGTTTGCTAGTATTTTGTTGAGGATTTTTGCATCTATATTCATCAGTGATATTGGTCTGTAATTTTCTTTTTTCGTAGTATCTTTGTCTGTTTTTGGTATCAGGGTGATGGTGGCCTCATAGAATGAGTTTGGGAGTGTTCCTTCCTCTGCAATTTTTTGGAAGAGTTTGAGAAAGAGGGGTGTTAGCTGTTCTCTAAATGTTTGATAGAATTCACCTGTGAAGCCATCTGGTCCTGGACTTTTGTTTGTTGCAAGATTTTTAATCACAGTTTCAATTTCATTACTTGTGATTGGTCTGTTCATATTTTCTGTTTCTTTTTGGTTCAGTCTTGGAAGGTTATACCTTTCTAAGAATTTGTCCATTTCTTCCAGGTTGTCCATTTTATTTGCATAGAGTTGCTTGTAGTAGTCTCTTAGGATGCTTTGTATTTCTGAGGTGTCTATTGTAACTTCTCCTTTTTCATTTCTAATTTTATTGATTTGAGTCCTCTCCCTCTTTTTCTTGATGAGTAGGCCTAATGGTTTATCAATTTTCCTTATCTTCTCAAGGAACCAGCTTTTAGTTTTATTGATTCTTGCTATTGCTTTCTTTGTTTCTATTTCATTTATTTCTGCTCTGATCTTTATGATTTCTTTCCTTCTGCTAACTTTGGGTTTTGTTTATTCTCCTTTCTCTAGTTCTTTTAGGTGTAAGGTTAGGTTGTTTATTTGAGATTTTTCTTGTTTCTTGAGGTAGGCTTGTATAGCTATAAACTTCCCTCTTAGAACTGCTTTTGCCGCCCATAGGTTTTGGATCGTCGTGTTTTCATTGTCATTTGTCCTTAGGTATTTTTTGATTTCCTCTTTGATTTCTTCAGTGATCTCTTGGTTATTTAGTAACGTATTGTTTGGTCTCCATGTATTTGTGTGTTTTACGTTTTTTTCCCTGTAATTCATTTCTAATCTCATAGCATTGTGGTCAGAAAAGATGCTTGATATGATTTCAGTTTTCTTAAATTTACTGAGGCTTGATTTATGACCCAAGATGTGATCTATCCTGGAGAATGTTCCATGTGCACTTGAGAAGAAAGTGTAATCTGCTGTTTTTGGATGGAATGTCTTATAAATATCAATTAAATCTATCTGGTCTATGGTGTCATTTAAAGCTTGTGTTTCCTTATTAATTTTCTGTTTGGATGATCTGTCCATTGGTGTAAGTGAG